AGGTTACCTCTGATAACCAAACTGAAAAGGAAACGGGGTGATGTCTTTTACTCTTCCAGTGGTCGCCCAAGAGCTTCCACACTTTCTCCAAGTAGGATATTACAATGTAGTTGCTACTTATCTACAGCAGTTTGTCTTTAGCTACAGTCTTCCACTCTGCCTGGGAGAAACAAGTAAATAAAGCCCATATTTCAAGCTTGATTTACTCTGATACCTACTGTGAAAGATTATGACTCTTTAGGGAAATAAAGACAGGGTCAGGGAATTAGTGTACATAATGGTCATTTTGATAATGGGCCAACAGATGCAACTGGAAACATACTGTACACAATTAAGCATAATGCACTAATGACAGGTTAGAGTTTTTATCGCCTCTTTGCGATCGAGCAGCAAATCCAAGTTTAGCAGTAATAAAGAGTTTATTGGTGCTAAAGCCAAAGATTTTCTGACAGAGGAAAGATTTTTCCTTTCATAACAAGAGTATTAAATCCTTTGTTTACTAGGGTCTAGAAAAGAGATATGCAAAGTGGTTGTCAGATATTTCTTAGGAAAAAGCCAATTAAAGGGTAATCGGGTAAAGGATAGGAATTACCATTTGACTTCGAATGTCTCCTTTTCTCCCGCTTTCTCCTGCCTCCACCCCGTAACAGCATTGCGCCCCTGCAGACAGCTTCTCCTCCTAAGAACTTCAGAATTGCAAATAATCCTCCAAGTCCGAGCTTTTTTACTCATGAAAGTAGAGCAGGCTTGTCATATCTTAACAATTCTGTGGTTTGTAGTACATCAAGATCTCATCTGTAGGCTTAACTGAACATACTAACCATGTACCTGAAATGCAGATGAAAATGGAACAGAATTTTTGGAATAAAGCAAAATGGTGCCTACGGGGCTGATGCCGTTTTCTGTCCCCTGTCCAGTTTGAGTTGGACCTTGGGAATATCTTATCTGGGAAAGGGGTGGAGGCTGCTTGTTACTGCAGGTTTCAGCTGACTTCCTTACCAGAGATCTCACCTATCATCAGTGCAGATTTTGATTTAGGGTGTTGTCGCCAGGACACTCACACTCAGTATCTGAAATAAAAAGAATAAAACATTCACTTCCCGCTGAGGTTTATTTGCATGAATGACGCTTCTGTTTGGAGTCGGGTGGAAATACGCTTTACTAGTGATGTTTCCAGGATGTAATAGGTGGTTTTCTGCCACAAATATTCCTTTAGCCAAACAATATTTGAATTGGATCAAGCTAAAGCCACTGCTTGTGCCTATAATACCAAGCGTTTTCTTGCTTAGTGTTGAAATTCAAGTACAAAAGTCTTTCTGGTCTATTTGCTACAACACCTCCTCTCAAAAAGGTTAAGAAGAGGTGAAAAGGATGAAAAGGCACTTGCAGGGTTTAAAAAATCTTCTATGGAAAAAAACCATCTTTCATATCACAAAAAAGTCTCCTGTAGGTTGTTATGTGCATAAGGTGGAGGCTTAAGAGCAGACACATTTGCAGATGAACTGCTTTTACTAGCTTCTCCGAGACATGACATTTGTTCAGAAGATTAGCCAGGTTGTAATGTGTAGCATAATTGCACTGTGCGGATGTCCCAGAAGTGAAAACCTAATTGCTTGACAGGCCTATAACTTTGTGGTACGCTCTCACCTTGTTAGGTCCTTTTCTGATGCAGTTCAAATGAAGTCTGGCCGCAGGTGTGCCTAATTTACCTCGCAACAGAACGTGTTGAGTTTAATTGCACAGTGGTTGTTAGGAAAAATTGGTGGGTGGAATATCAAGTGACTTACTGTACACGGATGGCAGATGGGCGTTGAGAGGCATCGCGAGCTAAGTGTATAGGTGAGGTGAGTTAATAAAAGATGTAAATTTTATCTTAAAATAGTGAAGTCTTGTGGTAGGTAATACATTTTAATTAAGATGGTAGCAGTCCCCTTCCTAGCAGCGTGAAAAAATCAGAGCAAAGGAACATCACAAAGATTGTATTTTTCTCCATATCAGTGTTTTAGGAGCAGCTTAGTGTGTTTAGGAAGGCTATTCTGCAAGACTGTATTTATTAAAAAAGACTACAATTTGTGCATATAGCACAAAATATAGCAGGGAGAGCCAAATCCGGGAAGGCTTGCATTCTCATTCTGTTGGCAGCAGCAAAGCTTGAGGAATGACCAGGCGGAGCTCCGATCCAGCTCCTTGCTTCTTGCTGTGTCCCAGCAATCTTGCCTGGGGAGCGCAGGGCTCGCAGGGGAAGGCTCTGGCCCCGTTCTCTCTGCGGTAAGGATGGGTTCAGAGCACCCACTGACCTTGTTGGTCAGCTGAGAGGAACGATCAAGTCAGTTGTCTTCTCCTGGCAAGCTTTGAGAAGCTCCCTACCTGGGAATGTGTTTTTTAATTGATGTTGTCTTCCTCTGAAAATCTTGTCTCGATGCCACCTGTGCTCAGTGAACTCTCTGAAAAGACAGATTAAGAAATAAAATAATAAAATAAAATAAAATAAAACAAAATAAACTGAAATAAACTGAAATAAATAAAATAATAGAATAAAATATCTCAGTATCCAGAAATGTATCAGAGCTGAAATACAAATGCTGGTTGTATTCACCCCAGCCTTGTAACTTCAATATTTATCCCAGTGCTCAGGGTCATCCCAGTAAACTTGAAGATGCCTAATTCCACCAAGTGTGGGTCCTTTTGACCAAATAATTGAACAAATACCAGTTCCAGTTGATGTTTAGTGAAAGGGTTCTTAATGGCCCTTTTTTTTGACAGGATGTGAGCTCTCTGTATAGAAACAATTCATCACAAACGCTTCACGTTAAAAACAATCCATGAGGAGCAATACTTAGCATTCCTAGTGCACAATTCATTGGAGAATTTCTGAGCAATTTACAAACATTAGCTCAATAAGCCTCACAACACCCATTTGAGATCAGGAAAAAAAATAGATAAGATACTCCTCTTCAGCCTGGCTGTGGCACTAAGGAGCTGTAAAGCTGGAGGTTCACCCCAGCTCCTGACTCCCCAGCACAGGGTGGTCCCGTGCTGACAGGGGCATCAGCTGGTCCTTGCACATTATCGCATCGCAGTCCGTGTGGTGGAAGGTGTGCAAAAAAGACTAGAGGTATGAGAGAAATGCCATTACGTTTAGGAGATCATAAATATATTAAAACAAACAAACAAACAAACAAACAAACACCTCAAGGCAGATACATTTGGGGTGAGGGTGTGGCTAGCAAAGATGAAGTTTTGTGGAGTTGCTGGTAGTGTCCCTGCAACAGCATCCAAAAAACCTGAGTTCAAGTGAGCATCCAAGCTAGGACATCATGTCAACCACGGAAATCCAGCTCTTTCTGCTCGACAGCTAAAACAACTTTACAGATTTTGGGATAGGAAGTTTTAAAGAAATGTGCATTCAGCTAAACTGACAGCATCAATTTATTTATGCACAATTTCAGTAAACCTAGTAGATTCTTTACTTGTCTCTCTGATATGAGACACTGCTCCTTCAGCATTAGCATCCTGTATTAATATTAAGGTCCTGTTAAGGGTTTAACTGAAAAGGAAGATCTGTGATTAAAAGCAGCAGTTTGTGATATGGAGATACTCCCATAATGCCCCCGTCTGACCCTCAAAGCTCCGCAGGAGTGAGTGTGATGTGGTGCAGCCGTAGTTGTACTTTCTACCAACCATGGTTGGGCTGTGTTGGGTGCTGAAGAAGTGAAGAGGCACCTGGTTTGCCTCCTACCAGGAATGCTGTTGGCATATGGAAACTTCTGTGAGGTGTATAGAGGAAGAATAGTCACAGTCTCTTAGAAAGTTTGACATGAATGAGTAATAGTTGTTTGTATTTTAAATGTAAAAGCTCTGTCTAACCTCGCTGGTCATCATGTATGAAGTTGGGCAGTGCAAGCTGCTGGACTGGAGCATCTGAGAAACTCTGGGTGAGGAGAAAGTCCTGAGACTTGCTTGTCATTAGCTGTCAGTCATTAGCTGAAAACCAGACCCACAGAACATTTTTTTTAATTATGAAGCATGAAAACATATCTACGTAAAGAAAAGAGGTGGTGTTAGGCTGTGAATATCCACCTGTGCGAGGGCAGGACGGTGAGGGTCCCCCCATCTCACATATCCTGCAGACTGGAGACATCCCAGGTCAGCTCATTCCTCTCATACAGGAGGGTGACATAAAGGAGTTTGCATTTTTCCAAGCTTTTCTCTTTCCTAGAAGCACTTGCTGTGTTCCCGGGAGGCAGCGTTGCTACAAACCGGTTTATGGGGAGTTGCCTAGATGATAAGGGTTAGTCTTAAATAATTGCTGGTTGCTGCTCAGCAAAAATAAGCTGGATTTCGATCCCTGGGTAGAGTGACTCCTTACAGTTAAAGGTTGGCAAAGGTTGAAGAGGTCATAAGCCAGGGCCTAATTTGCCATGTTCCTTTCCTTTCAAAAACAATGAGGGGACCGGGGCCTTGCCGGTGGGCAGATCCCGCCTGGATCTCCCTGGAGTCAGCAGGAGTTGGATCGAGTCCCTTTGAATAGCAAGAGTTTCCAAACCGGAGGCAAAGCCAAGTGTTTTTCAGAAGATTGATCATTCATTACCTTGGAATTTTTCGACGTAGAGGTCATTACTGCTAATATAAGTTGTGAAAAAATAAAACATATTAAAAAAATAGAGACAAATTCTCATCTGGTGTAAGTCATTGCCTTTGAAGTCAATGAGTCACTGAAATCAACTTTCCCACACCGAGCTAGGGATATGGCCTGGAGTCAATACATTTGTAGTTGTTGAAAAATTAAAAATATAAATTTGCCTTTCCCTGGCAATAATGTTCTGTTTACGACAGGGATCTTATGCTTTAAAATAAGTTCATTAACTAATAAGAAAGTAGTAGTTCACTACCAGTATTCTTTTGGGTATAACTATTTATGATTAAATTTTATTAAACTTTTTAAAAATTGGATTTACATTTTGATGAATCTAATAGATTTCAATTTTGTATTTTTATAGATTCTTTCTAAAGTTTTTCCTCAAGTGCAATCAGAACTGTTTGAAGAATGCAGGCAACCCACGAGACATGCGAAGATTCCAGGTACAGCTCCCTCTTAAAGAATAAACCATATATAAAAGACTTACTCACATCTTGACTCTTCATCTTGAACATTTTTTTTAGTGAAAAACCAGTATCGGTGCTTCTGCTTAGTGTAGTTCTAATGCTGTGTGCCTGAAAAAAGAAATGCTGTTGGAATTTTACAGTTCCCCCACCAATTTAAATACTGGTTCTTGGGACTCACCGAGTTCTGCAGAGGACTGTAATGGATCGATTCTGAAGCACGTGGGTCTCTCCTCAGAAAGCGTTTCCCTAGTTTTCCTTCGTACTAACACCTCGCGTTGTAATGTGGCGTCTGCTCAGACCTGCAGAGGTTTTACATATGTAGACCCAGTAGCATATTCTTACTAACAGACGTGACCGTGGAGGGCAGTGAAGTTTGGATCTCGCACAGGTGTTTTTCACATTCACAACTTGTAAATCCAACAGTGGTGGTCCAACCCACATATTTTTATTCCAATTGTGTTACAAAATGTTTAATACTTCACTTTCTCCTTACAGCTTTTGAAATATCCTGTGGTGAATCATAACACTACAGAGAGACAGCTGACGTGATGGACAAATTATTTCCTCCATATTTGGGGTCATTTGAAATGCTTGTTAGGAAAGATATGTTTTTTATTTCAAAATATTTCACAATGATTCATATTTGAGACTAATCATAAAGTAGTATTGAGATATTCAAAACTTCCTTATTTTTGAGAAGAATAACTTGTGGTTAAACTTGATGGCAAAACATGTGACATCTGTTTTCATGCACAGCCAACCAACCGGTGAAGCCAGCACCCTTGAGCCAGCCAACAGAAAAGATCTGTAGCTGGAAAAAATATTTCTTCAAAACAATTGAGCCAAGCTGCCATTTTTCATGCATCTCAGCTTCACGTGGCATTGGTGATATTGATCCATCTGAACAGAACAGAAGGTCAAACCTGGAATGAGTGGAAATGTCCTCTTTGTCTCACCGATGACTAAATGAAGCATCAGTCATGAGTGATCTTGTGGTCGACAATGGAGCCAGTAGGCACTAGAAAGACTTTCCTGGGTCTCTTTAGCTAATCTCCCTGCCTCTCAGAAGGTTTAACTGGACTTAACAGTATGTCAGATCTTGAACAATATTTTTAACTGGTTTCACTGTCTCAGCACCTTTCTTTAGGTACACTGCAGGAATAAGCCGATATAACAAAGCATAGCATGTCTACTTTCTTTTGCTGAACTACAGTATTTTCCCTTGGTGACTGACCTATATATACATGACAGAACAAAAATAGTTGTCATTTTTATATACACCTTTCTCTGTCTTTTTAATATACCGTGTTCTAGGAACCAAATCCAGAAATCCTTGCTGCAAATCACACTCGCATGTTTTGCAATATTACTTAAAGTTTGTGAATCTCATTAAAAGTGAGAGCAGATAGCCCAGTGGCCTGGCAGCGGCTCTGCAGCCGAGGTGAGTGTGCAACCTCAGCACTCTCCAAAGTGGATGTTGACAAGAGTGAAAGCGTCCACTTCTGGGAGGAAAAAGATAGGGAAGCGGAGCAGCCTGGCAGAGAACTGCCCTCGGGCTGTTCCAAAGGGTACCGCAGATGGCTGTCTCAAAGGAGGCAGGATACACAGAAAAGGTGCTGTGATAGCTGAGAGCTAATTATGGGTTGTGAATAAGAAACAGGATCAGAGGTGATCCAAAACATAGAAGCAGGCAAGAATTTTCTTCTGATGCCTTGGACCAGCTCTGTGCAAAGGGAGGTTAGTTTTTCCCCCTTCCATCTTTGTTCATTAAGTGCTGCGAGAACCCTGGCAATGGTTTTTGTTATTTCCAAAAGTAAAATAAGTGGAGGGAGAAAGCTAAAATTTGGACTAGCTGTTGCTGCCATCACCAGTAAGGTTGATAAGGCCTAACTTAGCCGTTGACTTTAAGGACTCTACTAACATTAAACCCCAAAGAAAATGCTGCAGCGATTACTTCGTTTAGAAAATCTGGAACCCACACCACAGGGCCCATGCTGGAGTATTTAAACAAGATGCAAATGTCTATCTGGGATAATAGCAATCGACCTACGAAGCCGTGTTCCACACAAACACAGGAGCATCTCACGGTTTCCTCTTTGGCTTGTGTTCATGCGATACCGTTTCCGGAAGGAGTTGCACAACTCCATTGTGTAGGTGTTTTTATCGGGAAGGTTGTGCGTTTTGCATATGTTCCTTTTCCATTTTCTACTGAGAAGCAGCTGGAAGCCAAAGAAGGCCCTATCCATCATCTCTTCTATGGCCGGACTCTGAACCTGGAAACAAGAATAGGAGCCTTTCACTCAAAAATAAAGGAGGAAATTCCATTGACATACCAGGGTCAATCACCATCCAAATGAACTTGAGAAGGGATACTTTTCATGGATTGAAAACACTTTCACTATTCATATTCAACTCGGTCTTTTCAGATGCAAAAAAGTTCATTATCAGACATTAAATGTAATTGTAAAACTGACCTGGAGATCATTTACTGAAGAAAAAATGGGGAGTTACGATGGTTCCTGATTTATTAAGCTTTTTTTATTTGGAATCCTCACAACCCTTCATTTGAAGACAGTCTCAAGTGAACAAATTTTAATTAGATAAACTATCTAATCAATATATCAACAGATCAATCAAAACAGCAGCTTTTAAAATGAGTGGCTAGAGGGGTGTTTCTGAAACTAATGGCTAGAAGAATATTTCCCTGAATTGAATTCATTTGTTAGCATAATAGGAGATTAAACTCTAATTAGTGTAGCAGGTTCTGAAGAGAAACAATTGTGAGTTAAAAATCACCCATGTTAGCAGCATAAACAAAGATGTATTCATAGTTATCATTCACTTCGTTTAAAGTGAAAAGGAAGAGGCTGTGATGTTGTTTTCTCTTAAAAGGTCTGATTCTGTATCTACGTTTGTGAAAATACACAGGATTTTTTAAATTTGGCTTTTTGTTTTCTTTTTCAGGTTGTTGTATCAACAACAGTCAATGTGGATGGCCACGTGCTGGCTGTCTCAGACAACATGTTTGTACACAACAATTCCAAACACGGGAGGCGGGCTCGCCGCCTTGACCCCTCAGAAGGTACGGCCCCTTCTTATCTGGAAAATGGTAGGCACACATTTACATGTCTTTTTTTTTATTTGCAATGCTTTTTTTTTTTTTTTTTTCCCACCATACTTTATGTTGATACACTACTACATTTACTTTTACATAATTTCTTCTCTCATCCATCAAACCACCCATTAAAAAAGTCCATTAGTATTTCTCAGCCCTTGTCAACTAGAATACGGGCACTTCTGAATTTGCTTCTGACTTCTTTCTTTATTTAATACTTACAGTTTTGCAGTCACAACCAATTTTTCATCTTTTTCTATTTTTTTTTTTCCAGTCTTGTTTTGCTTGCAGCTTTTTCTTGCTATTTAATTTGACTTGATTTTATTTTGGCTTGTCATATTCCTTGATCCAGAGGTACAGTCTCAGGTTATGTATGCAAGTTTAAGTGGATGGTAAAAACATGACTGAATCTGTAAAGAATTTACTGTGAGGTCAATTTCCTGTGGCTGGGCCTTACTGCAGATTACGGCAGGAGGGGGTTTGTATGAGAAAAACAGCATAAAATGTTTTTCTTCAGACTGACTCAATGTGATTGACTTCTTGCCTGAACTGCTAAAAGAAGATAGTCTGAGATGAAGAGGAGAATGGAAAGTGTCTCTGAAAATCCAGAATTGTGAAATACTATCTTTCTGGAGCCCATCAGCCTCCGAATCACTAGCATACAATTGCAGCTGCGCTCATACACGTGCACACATGTATTTATTCACCCACGAAGCCCAAAATAATAATTTAGGTTTAAATAGCACTTTAGTCACACTGTAAAATGCACCAACATAAAGATACAAACTGGCTTTCAGGTAACCGATTTTTACTAAAATTAGAATAGAATAGAATAGAATAGAATAGAATAGAATAGAATAGAATAGAATAGAATAGAATAGAATAGAATAGAATAGAATAATTTCAATTGAAAGGGACCTACAGTGATCACCTAGTCTAACTGCCTGATCACTTCAGGGCTGACCAAAACTTAAATGCATAGGGATCAAATGCATCTTGAGTTCTTACAGAGTGAGAATTCTCAAAGCCACTGAGGTTTGACATACGGTTGCGTGGCCAGGCCACGCACATCAGTTTCCGTGGGACTCCTCTTGCCAGTTGTAACTAACATATTGACAGGATCATGGCTTTTATGCTAATAAAATTAATTAAAGTAATAACAGAAAACTAAGCTGCTAATACAATCATTGTCATTTTACGTTTCAAATAGTATTTACCAATGGGCACACAGAGAAATGAATGAGACAAGCAACAATTATCAGAAGGAAATACGATCTAGACATCAAAAAATGGAAAGCGATTTACAAATCTGCTGCAGTCCACACACACACAAAACTAATTTGTTTTTCTGCATTAATAACTAAGGTATAAGAGAACAAAAATATAATAATTAAAGGTCGCCCTGAGCACCAGAGTCATTATGGTCTATGACGTATTGTTTATCTCTTTCATATGCACTGAAAGTAGGTGTGTGTTTTGCCTAGCAACCGTCACTAATGAGGTTCACAATTAAGAAGGCTGAATCCTCTCCCCTAGTCCTCTCCTTCCCCAGAGAGCGAGAACTAGCAACATTATAGGTTCAAGTAAGCATGCTCAGCCCTGTGGTGTTAGGTTTTAGTCTAGGTCCAAATTCAGCCTCTTCTAATGAGCTATTATGATCTTAGCAAAATACAAGTATTTATTTTTGTAAGCTGCATGAAGAGAATTTGACTCTAAGCAGAAAACATCGCTTAGAAAAATAAAGGCAGCTTTTACATGCTACAGAAAATCTACATAAAC